AAACGTTTTTAAGGGGGGGAGGGGGGGCGCAATAAGTATTTAATAATTACCTAAATATAATAAGAGATTAATGGGTATCATTGACACTCCTTGATAATGATGTGACACAATCTTCACTATGTGAAAATTGTGTCACATCATTGTCAAGAAGGAAAATCCCCTACTTGTCAAGGATACCCATTAATATCATATAATAATACAATATTATAAAACTATAGTAGGTGATGGAAATTAATGCACTCGGTCTTGGTGGTGGTCTGATATGCGACGGGTTCGGACAGCTATTCTAGAGGTAAAGAAGGGGAATAGAGTTAGGATTTTAGATCTTCAGAATTGGGAGAGGTGAATTTTTTGGGGTTCTTTTTATTTATTTACTTATTTTTATTTTTATTTTTTTTGGGGGGTGGGGGGGTTAACCTAAGAGACTTTAATCGATACTTTGCAAATATCTAGAGGTGCAATTGCTCGTATATAGATTCGCCTCTGACCTCGTTGATATCATAATGAATACATTCCATTTTTCTATGTGTTTATTCGGATATGACACCTGTCTTGCACATATACAAGTTGTAGTGGTGTTGTAATATCACGAGTACATATTTGCTTAAGGCTTACTGCACTAGAGAATACTCTCGCATTGGAGGTAGTCAATGACGAATCTAGAAAATTTTCCATTAAAAGGGAAGGGGACGGGGAACGAGCATCTATTTAACTAAAAATAAAAATATAATATTACAAGATTATAGTTCTTGATGGAGAAACATCTTGATACACTTTATTATTGAAATTTTAACTGGGATTCTACTTCCAACGGGCTAATTCAAATTTGCTACTAATTTTTTTTAGTATTTTTAGATGGCTTCAATCTTGGATTGCCATTTTTTTGGGTTGGTGGTTTGGGGTGGTGGGTTGGTGTGTGTGTGTGTGGGTGGGTGTGGGTGTGTGTGTGGGGGGGTGGGGGTTGTTCAACTATAAACATTACAGCACTATGTATGCAATGGGGATGCAACTGTAAACATAGAGCCGCCACTTGTTACACTACAGGGTCGAGTAAATTAATTACTTCATGCAAGTTATGTGCAGAGTCCCTTGAACTTTGGTTCTGTTTTTCGTTTGATGAAATGAAAGAAAGAAAAAGGAAATTAGAGAGAGAACAAAATTCCATAGTTTAGTCAGAATGAAAATAAAAAGAAAATGGAAATGAGAAAAATGGAGTGGGAAATAGATATGAAACTTTCATTTACGTTTTCACTGCCTGCACCGAGCCAAGATGAGGGGAAAATCATCGGGATCAAAGGCATGTTTGGCAAAGAACAAATTATATTCAATTGTTGTGTTGTACAAGAGATTTACACATCTATATATATACATCAACCTAGCTAAAAAGGAAAGAAATCAATGGGCAATAATCCCAAATATATGATCTAAGGCACAATCTATTGCTAAGATTAAGGCGACATCTATGGACAAGATCAAACTCAAGATGGGATAGTGGAGACTAGCTTGAGTTTGTTGAGTAAATGAGTGAACTGACCAGGAAGATGAGCTTTAGTGAAAAAATCTGCAGGCTGAACTACTGAAGAAATAGAAAGAAGTTGTAAAGTGTCATGCTGAAGATGTTGACGAACAAAATGGCAATCATTCTCAATGTGTTTGGTGCATTCGTGGAAAACATCATTATGAGCAATTTGAATTGCACTTCGATTGTCACATTGTAGAATGGTAGCAGAGGACCGTGTAACACCCATATCCTCAAGTAACCAACAGAGCCAAAGTAATTCAGAAGTAGCATCGGCTAGGGCCTGATACTCAGATTTAGTACTTAATCGAGATGTGACAGTTCGCTTCTTACTTCTCCATGAAATGAGCGAGTCACCCAAGAAGAAGCATTAACCAGTTGTGGAACGACGATCAGTATGGTCACCAGCCCAATCAGCATCAGAGTAGCCAGATAAGATTAATGACGAATGAGCAAAAAAATAAAGTCCATGAAGAAGAGTGCCTTTGACATATCTTAGAATATGAAGAACATCAGTAAAATGAGCACTCCGAGGAGCAGCCATGAATTGACTAACAACATGCACAACATAGGCAATATCAGGACGAGTCACAACAAGATAAACAAGATTACCAACAAGTTGTCGATATAAAGTAGGATCAAGAAGGGTTGTGCCATCAAATGGAGTTAACTTAACATTGGTATCCAAGGGTGTTGAGGCAGTATTTGAATCAGTGAGACCAGATCTGGAAAGCAAATCAGAAGCATATTTGGTGATGCGGCATAAACATGTACCAAAAAGGTTGCAAGTGCACAACCGTGTCAAGTTATAGTATTTAAGATATCGATCCCACGAGGAAGGTGTTTTGTAGGAGAAAATATAAAATCGGTTCTTATGTTGTGTGTGTGACAAGTAGGAGTGATAAGTGAATGTGATTGTGGAGAGATAGAGAGAGTGGAAGTGATAGTGTGTAAATCGGCACGAGATATAAGTGAGAGTGGATGTGACAAAGAATGAATATGATCAATAAGGCAAGAAGGAAAAGGAAAATAAAAATCAAGAATAAAGAAAATAAAATTCAAGAATAAAAGAAAATGCAAGAAATTAAAGATGGTGGATTCAATTATAGATATGGGTAATCTACAATTGAACCCACTTCTTAGAAAATGGTGATTCCCTAGAGGGTTCTAGCCTAAAGGCGAATCAAACAAAATAAAAATAAACAAAAAGAAAAACTAAACCCAAGAGGGTTCTAGCCTCAAGGTGAATAGTATAAGAAATTAAAATCTAACTACAAAATAAAGTGCAAAATCTAAACTACAAAATAAAATTGCAAGAATTAAATGCAAGAAATTAAATCTATTCTATAAGCATGAAATAAATCTAAGGCAAGAGGGTTCTAGCCTCTTGGCTATTTAACAAGAAAATAAAATCTAAACTACAAGCATAGAAATAAATCTACACTAATAAGCAATAAAAAGGAAATAAAAGAGAAAAAGGAAAGAAAATGCAAACCTCTAAATAATTCTTCATCTCCATCTAGGGGTATCGATGCTGGCATCGATACGGGCATCGATGCCCCCATCGATGCTGGCATCGATGCCTGCCTGCTTCTAGCTGCTGTCCGCAGAACTCCTCTTTCATTGGTTCTTGGGCTTGGATCTTGGGCTTTTGCTTGGGCTTTTGGGCTTTGATATTTCTTTTAATCCTTCATCTTAGCCTGGGCTTTTGGATAGATTGGAAATTGATTTTCCAATTGGCTTCTTGATTCATTTCTTCATTTAATCAATGGGTTTTTGTTGAGAGATGGGAAGTTGAGATTTATTCTTCATTAACCTGCAATTAAAAGATAAAAATAATTATTAGTGGTATATTTATTCATATAAAATAGATAATGAGGGTATAAAATTATAATAAAATGTGATTATCATTTGGCTTGAGACAAATAGTAGCCATCAGAACGAGAAGAGACTTCAAGCCTGAGAAAGTAACTATGTGGCCCCAAATTTTTCATCTCAAAATGTTGACTGAGGTAGTTTTGTAAGTCAGAAATGGCCACATAATCATCACATGTAATGATCATATCATCTACATAAAGTAACAACAGAACAATACCCTTCTCAGTACGATGGATAAATAAGGCCGAATCATGAGGACTAGAAGCAACACCAAAACGTGCAATAGTGGAACTGAATTTTGCAAACCATGCCCGCAGAGCTTGCTTAAGACATATGCTTATGGTATAAATAGATCAATAATGAACAAAGTAAAAATATAACATTTAATACGCAATATAATGGATGATAAATACAATAAAATAGTTGTAGTTATAATCAATAATTTTTGATAACATATGACATTAAATAATTATCATACAAGGCTCAATACTAAGTCAAGTATTAAACATATTTATATAATATAGCAAATAAAAGCATCATATATAATAGCCATTAAAAATGAAAAAACACACATAATAATAAACATATAAAAAGTCTGAATATTTATAGTACTAATTGTGCTAACAAGATAAATTATGATGAAAGCAGCCACAAAATATTATATGATAAAATAAACATAAGAGCAACAAGTGATTCAAAATAAACATATTATATAAAACATAATAAGAACATGATTATATATATTCGACAAATAATATGATAACTCAGAAATATTAGTAATATTCATAAGGTAAAATAATAACTATCATATCCTGGTTAAACATAGTTGCATATAATCACAATATGATAAAAGACGTTATGAAACTGTGTGTAGCAATAGTATAAAACACAATGATCACAAAACAAACATGAATAAATAATAATTATAATAGTCGTTCGGATCAATAAAACATCCATAATAAACATTAAAAATAACATAAAAATCAGATTAGTATTATATATAGCAAATATAAATACACACAACACACATGCTTATGGTATACATAGATCAATAATGAACAAAGCAAAAATACAACATTTAATACACAATACAATAGATGATAAATACAATAAAATAGTTATAGTTATAATCAAAAAATTTTGAGAATATATGGTATTAAATAATTATCATACAAGGTATAATACTAAGTCAAGTATTAAACATGTTTATATAATATAACAAATAAAATCATCATATATAACAGCCATTAAAAATGAAAACACACACATAATAATAAACATATAAAAAGTCTGAATACTTATAGTACTAATCGTGCTAACAAGATAAATTATGATAAAAACAGCCATAAAATATTATATGATAAAATAGACATAAGAGCATCAAGTGATTCAAAATAAACATATTATATAAAACATAATAAGAACATGATTATATATATTCGACAAATAATATGATAACTCAGAAATATTAGTAATATTCATAAGGTAAAATAATAAATATGAATAAGATACAACAATAATAAT